TTTAGAACTGATAATTAAATGTTCCTTACAGAGAAAACTTAGGTCAAGCCTAGATCTTTAATGGATCAGTACAATGACACCATTGAGTCATTCATGATCTCTCCATTTCAAATCAAGTTGTCTTTCTGAAGATGGAAAAAATGTTCTGTTTCCTATGACATTCTCTTTGCTTTTTTCCCCCCAGGAGTGCGATGTTCTCGTGACTATCCTGCTGCAGGAGGAAGTACTGGTCACAGACGAGGCCGTGGAGGGAAGCGCCTCAAGCACCAGGAATCCTCTGACCAGCACAGTTCTTTGGGTCTAAACAACAACCATCAAGACCCCAGAACAAGCACAGCACCCTTGCCTTTTAACATACCTCTGGGACCCCCAACCACCTCCTCATCCTGGCCATCTGTAGGCTCCCAAGCCAGCATTCCTTCTGCCCCTTTCACTCCTGGGATGCTTCCCATCTTTCCAGTTTACCCACCCCTCACACAACCAATGCCCATTTCAGACCCTACACGCTTCCCCCCAACCCAGATGGTACCTCCTATGATGGCCTTTGTTCTACCAAACTACATATTTCCTCAGATGGGAGCACCCACGTCTCAGCCAGGAGCCATTCCTGGACACTTTTACAATCCCAACTTCACATACCCCAATGCAGCCCCAGGCCCTTTCCCCACTGTTGCCTCTAACACTGTCCCCATTACGGGCACCGGTGTCCCCTCTCGTAGCAGCACCCCACAGTCATACAATCAGATGCCAGCTGAGCGGGAGGGTGCAGAGTCACCCCTTTTCCAGTCGCGATGCTCCTCCCCTCTAAACCTATTGCAGCTGGAAGAATCACCAAGCAATCGCTTAGAGGTCGCAACTGCACTGGCAGCCTCACAGCAAACCACACCTGCACAAGTCGGTGTAAGTGGAGGACAGAGCTCAGTTAATCAGAGGAGTGCTGATGATACGTCCAAGGAGAATGAGAGTGTACGTCTGAAGATAGTTAATGTGTTTTCCCACCAGATTTCTGTTTTACTAGAAAAGGTGTCTAAAAGGTCATTTCTCTTGTTCACATCAGGGTGAAGCTAATGAGTCAAACAATGATGCAATGTCCACCTCCAGTGACCTGCTGGACCTGTTGCTGCAGGAGGACTCACGCTCAGGCACAGGTTCAGCCGCTTCGGGTTCAGGGTTTTCTGGAACAAGGTCCTCAGGTTCAGGCTCTGGATCTAATGGATGCAGCTCATCAGGCACTAGTGGCACCAGTGAGTACATTTATCTGGTTGATAAAAATCAATTACTAAAGTTAAGGTGTGAAGCTCATACATCTCTGTCCTTGCAGGTAGCAGTCAGGGCAGCCACACGAGCAAATACTTTGGCAGTGTAGACTCATCAGAGAATGATCACTCACGCAAACAGGCTGCAGGGGGCAGCAGCAGTGGAGGAGGAGATGGAGGCGAGGAACAGTTCATTAAGTGTGTACTGCAAGACCCTATTTGGCTCCTGATGGCCAACACAGATGACAAGATAATGATGTCCTATCAACTACCAATCAGGTTAGATACAGAGTCGGAGAGAAATGTAATCTGTAAAAAAATTCAGAGTCTTTGTCATGCTTCTGAAATGAACCAAAGACATCTTTGAGAAATGACCATTCATCTCCTGTGCAACAGGGACATGGAGGCAGTGCTGCGAGAGGACCGCGAGGCTCTAAGGAACATGCAGAAACATCAACCACGTTTCACGGATGATCAAAAGAGAGAGTTGAGCCAGGTACACCCTTGGATTCGTACAGGACGCCTGCCACGAGCCATCAATATCTCTGTAAGTAGCCTGCAGCTAACAAGAGCCAGTCACTTCAGTACCACTTCTTGAAAAAGCTCTCAAAAGACCCTGGAAGTTTCTTCCATCTCTTTCAGATTTTCCACTATTATTGGATTCCCAGTTTTTTAGGCACACTCAAACACTGAATAGCTGATGACAATTAAATAAGAAACTTAAGAAAAACAATTTGTGCATGCTTTTATTGAACAAAAGCCACATAACATTAATTTAACACCTGTAATTGTATCTATTACAAAAATAAATTAAAGTTGAATTGCCCTGCTCTCAACAAAAACAAAAATCTTGAAATAAAAGAAAAGGAAGGTAGGAAAGTGAACTCCTTGTCATTGTGACACAGCTCACCACTGCACTCAACCAAATGTGACCTTTTAACCCATCACCAAAGTGAACAGTGGGCAGTTTAAAGGGGAGCAGTGTGTGGGGACGGAGCCTTGCTCAGAGCACCTCAGTGGTAACTTGGCAGCTGGGGGACTCCAACCTGAAGCCTTCCAGACCCAAGTCCGCTTCCTAACCACTAAGCCACCGCTGCCCCACAAAAGAACCTCAGGGGAAAAATAAATAACAATTAAATAAAATATGTAAAATTACTGCAAATTTGGCCACTCCTACAGGACTCTAAAATATAGAATTACTCAAACAGGAGAATTAATAGAAAAATAAAAAATAAAATAAAATGAAGAATTTCTACTCTTAGGGGTTTTTGTTTCACATCTTGCATAAACATTCAGGAAACTAACTGAACACAATGTTCCTTTTATTCCAGAGCTGCACAGGCTGTAAGTCTCCCACTGCTGTGCCACTCACAGCACCATTCGACGTGGAGATCCATGAGATGGAGCTGTGCAGTGTCCTGAAAGATCAGGAAGAAGGTGATGACAACGGTGGCAAGAAAGACTGCACAGAAACAGCAATGGATGAAGCACATCCTGAGGATGACGGCGAAGAGGAAGAAGAAGAGGTGGAAGAGAAAGGAACCGAATCACAAAATGTCAAAAGGGACAATATTGCAGACGAACACAGGACGACTTTAGAAGTCATTAAGTAAAAGGCAGAACCTCTGCTGTTTGACATGACTCGCTGAGTTGGTGACAAAAGACAAATTCAGCACCTTTTCCTTACATACATCTGCACCTTCTACAGCTGATGCCGACCAGTTGTTTAAAACAGGCTCTGCTGGGACCTGAAGGTTTATTGTTTGCTTGGTCAGTCAAGAAACTTGACCAAAAGTAATCTTGATGGCATATAACTTGGATGACAGAACTTGTCCATGTTTAAAAAGTGAAGTCCATACCTCCTTGCTTTTCTTTCAGCTGTGTTAAAATTGGTTCTTTACCTATTTATTAAAGATGTAAAATAATTAAACGGGTACTAAAGTGAATAAGTTACAAAAAAAGACAGTTGTGCTTCACAACACTTGTCTTCATAGATGTGCTTTATCCATCATCCTAAGATTCAACAACTCCAGTAATGGATTTTTTAAATGCCCAAATCTTAAATGTGTTTCAAGAGAGAGGTATTTTCACTTTACTGTAATAGAGAAACTGTACAGTTAAAAGATATTATTTTCTGAACATACTTGTATTTTTTTTTATACTGTCAGGGAAAATGGTTGCCCAAAAAGTGTTTGTACAGTACTGACTATGTATCCAGGACATACATTTGTGTTATTTTGATAGATGTTGTTTTTACGTGACTTCAGTCCAGTGTGATTGTGACGTTGTCCAGTAGCATCCTGTGGCAATACACAGGACACTGACCCGTCCTTTTCACAGTGCTCCCAGGTGAGAGAAATGGACAAGCAGTGTTTTTGCACAGTGCCTCCACTAGATGGAGCTGAATGCCTTAGGCAGACTGTGGGGACATTTCTGGCAGTACTTATGAATTGTGATGGAGAAAATATCTGTCCCAGTTGTCCCTTTGCACCGTCTCTCTGTGGCGCTGTTCTGCTCGTGATGTTCAATGCTTAGCGTCTGTGGTCTTTGCAACAGGTTTAATATTTTTGTGAAAATCTTTGTACAAAACACAATAAAACAACTTGAAATGCCTTTAAATATGAGACGTCTGTGTTATTTGTTCCTGAATGCCTCCCTTTTGCTTTGTTTTTTGTGTGTTAATTTTGGAAAAGCTGTCTTGGCTTCTGGTGAATACATTCAGGGTAAAATGGCAGCAGAGAGCAGATCAGGGTAACTAGTCTCTTTGCTTACACAACCACAGTCTTTCCTTCTATTCAAGCTGTGTTTTTTTTTAACTCGGAGTGGTCACCACAGCCTAAAAAAGACAAAGGCATGCCCGTGTTTAGGAAAAAACAAAGCTGACTACACTTTCACAAGGAGACATGAAAGTCTGGATCTGTTTTGGTCACAAAGATGAAAGCTGATACTGTCCTTCTCAGTCTCTCCTGATGTTTTAACAACCACGTGATTCTCACTGCCACAAATTATGGGGAAAGGAATTTAAATTTCCTTGTTAGCACCACTTTCTCTCTAGCAGAGTAAATTGTGCATGTGTGCCTAAGTAGGAGCTCCACACAGAGTTCAGAGCCTTGCTTGAAGTTATAGAGGCCATAAACTAAAGGTGCGCACTAACTTCTTTAAAAGAAACCGTTTCACATGCAGTACGTAGGACCAGAGATGAATTTAAACACCATATCATCAGTCACAGTAAGTTAAATAGAACTAAGAAGGAGCCACATGGACGGTCAGTCCAGATGATGTACATGAAGAAGTCTGAAGATGTCTAGGAGTGACGCAATTAGTTTTGGTTTTTCTTTTTTTTTTTGCAAGCCAATAAGACAATACATAAGAGTATATTGGACCTGATTTCCATGACCAACCGTTCTGTATCTAAGTGGAGATTATGTCAGAATTGAACACCATATCATGCCTTAACACACTTG